ACCACACCCCCCCACAACACCCACAACCACACACCCACACTCACAAACCCCACCACACCCACCTCATATTACCCCAAATCCCAACCACAGCCCGCCTCATGTAACTCTCCTCCCAACCTTTTTACCCCGCCTGCCCGAGTGACAGCAGGAACAGAGGCTTCTACAGGCTTGAAATATTATCACCGCACGCCTGAATTACAAAATAATTGCGATAGCGATAACCAATATTACATCCAAATGATGACTGTGGTCTGATATGATGGTCGATCTAATACGCCTGTAATTCCTCGCAAATTAAAGGCAATGATTGATGAATCCACATCTGCAAGCCATTCCTCGCTGGACTATCGCTAGCGTCGCCGCACCGTGTACCTATGCACCCCCGTGTTCACTACCATATGCCTTCAAAGATTCAGTGTTTGCTGCCATGAAGGGAAGATGAGACGCGTGCACGCCGGCTTCTCACTCGTATTGATCGGTTACCTCTTATTCACCAGCTGACCTTGGCTTTAAGCAGTTTGAAAAGTTTTGAGCACCTGGAACTGCACCACACCACAGCTACCCCACGCCCCCCGAGTACTCGTCCAGCTCCCTCCCACTGTGGATCTAACCCTTTATAAACAAAATGCCGTTGAAGCCTCGAACAATCACCCAACCAGGCTTATTGGCCAATGTACACATTAAGAAGGGCGCTTACTATATTCAGAGGCTTCCCAGCGAGTCAGATCCTACCCCCTTACGCAATTTGAGTCAAATACATGCTAGTCTTTTGTCACCCAACGAACCCCCCCCCCCCCCCCCCCCGCATTGTGCTTAACTTAGTGTATGCGATGTTCGAGAATACAGCATCTTTTTGTCCCATTTTTGTTTGGCCTCCATATGGCTTGCACCTTGACATTTTTCCTTACAGGGGTCTCTACTGCTTGATACTACTTGATTGAATAATATGGGAATTGTTTTAACAGAAGAGATCCTGGGAAATTAAGGTTCTGACTTGCCTGCTTGCTGATAGCTTGCATTCACGAGAATGAAGGGAAGCAAATTGATTTGTGGGACACTTTTTAAACTTAATATGTGGCCCTGGGGTATTTTTTTGTGTAAATGTTCTCGTCCAAAGACCATCAATGTTTGACTGAAGTCTGGGTCTATGTGACTGCAGTTCCACCTGTCTTAATAGCGTCTACTCGTACAGTTGACGTGTCAGTGCATGCACATGCCAAGAGTGGAAAAACATGATAAGGAAAGAACATCATATCACATAAAATCCAAGGAACTCACAGAATTCTACACATACACCTTAAATGATACTTATGGACGACAATCCAGACAAGCTTTTTCCTACTCCCAGTGATCAGCCCTTGGACAGCGATATTGAATACAGACTGTACCACCAGGAGGACCTGCCTTGCTTGACTGCCTGCTCTGCTTTGATCCATGTACGCCCTCTATCATGCACACTTGAACTTACATGGCACTAATTCGGAAAACGGTTGTCGTTCATCTAGAGGATGTTCTCCAGCAGCCTGCGCGGAAATGCTGCCTGGAAATAAACCAACAGCCTGGATACATTAGTGGGATCGCACCATCCTTGCCTTGCCAACCGACACTCGCTTTCCCAACCTAAGAGAGTGGCAAATCATTTTGTATAATCTTCCTAGGTGGACCAGGCATGGTTGTTACACCCGCGATCTTGTTGGTGTGGCCACAATAAACCGACATACCATCGTACCATTGGCATTGCTGACAACTGCCTTGTGTCCATACTGAGTTAATAAATAAATCCACGTTATGGATGTAATGTCCTTCCCTCATCTTGGTTTACTGCTGTACCCTCGTGTGGCCACACATCATGTATCTGATCTCTATATGAACTCTTTATTCTAGTAGACATGTGAATACTAAAACCAAGATTTACCTTATGATAACAGCTCTTGATAACGAGTACACGATTCAATTCAAACCAACAAATTGGCTAAATTATGAACACAACTGTCCTGTATGAGCGGTGTTTGTTGAGAGTGTTATTAAACCACCATGTCCTTGATTAACTGCTGCCGTGGTTGATGTTATTTCTTTTTATTTTATTGTAAAAATGTTATTAATTATCGAATTACTTGTAAGGATTCATTCAGTTCAATGTTTGCCATTTAAAACTGCGTTGGTCATCGTAGCGTTTTGCAGTATCACAGGAATAAGGTGTAGAAGTATCTTATTTCACCGCGTCCATATATGTCGATGTACAGTATCGTGCTGCTTTAAAGTGCATGGTATGTTACATGCTGACTTACCCTCTACCCGCCTGGAGTGACTCTCGCTCCGCCGCTCTCTCTCAACGTCAATTGGGTTCTTTTTCAAAGGCTAAAGATATGAGATATGAGTTTTTTAAATGTTGACTCCAGTACCATACTCGAGCAAATAATACAGTACTGATACACTATTGGCAAAATACGGTGCATAGCATATTCGTGACAGGGGAAACACTTTATTTTTGCTCTTCTATTTCCTCAGCTGCCTCCTGTGTCGCACTCGGTGTTTGTGCTTCCTGATTTCCACCAATTGTAAATATATGCATGTTCCGCTCCGGCTCGCAAGAGTGGCAGTGCAATCCTCGCCCTTCTCTTTTGCAGAGCTGCAGGCTGGACTGAGTGCTCCTGACAAACTGTCCTGTGTCTGTAATGAATTGGATTGCTAGTTCTGCACTTTCGGCAGCAAACCAACGCAGCCAGTTTTTATGTAGGTCTTGCCGCTTGCGTTGCATTTACATGACTGTCTGTGCTCTTTTGAAGCACAAATTGCGCTCTTTAGAAATCGTTTAAAAAAGATCGCCCATTCAAAGTGGCTTATTTTCAGTCCTCCTTGTGTTGGAACTCTCGTATGATAGAGCACTGGATACAAGGATGCTGGTGCTAGAAGTTGTACTAGATTCATAGTGTTAATACGAGGAATATTTGAAATCGGTGGCTTTAGTTATCACATTACAAGTTCCAACGGTAGTAGATTCATCCTGCCCAAAGGGGAGAAGACGACTCTTGGTGACGTTTCCTCCATGTTTTGATTTCTGTATGCTGCGTGCAATGTTAAGTTATTCACCAAGTAAGATCTCACTTTTGAAGAGAATGAGCTCCCTAATTCCTATACCATCATAATGCCCTTCATTAAACGTCATGAACAGTCTGAGTTGATCTACTGGAATTCGTATTTTCAAATACCATCATGCTATTTACTTAGCAAGCTCAGATAGCATAAACAAATATCAAAAACATGTCTATGAAGTGTTTTGCTCAAAATACCAAACAGATCACCCATTCTAGCCATGCCTCATATCCCTCTATTTCACTTCCTGTTTCAAAAGTGCTGATTTGGGGTATAAAGCTTTAAAAAAAAAAAAAAGAGGAGGGGGCTGAGCTCATGTGGGAGATTCTACCGGCAGATACTGCGGTGATGAAACGCCATATCATGGATTATCAAGGATTATTTCTGAAACAGTATGGAGCTCAAAGGCTTTCTCTCTTGCCGGTTATACCACAAGGTGAGTTCCTTTTTATTTCCTGCTTCTTCACACACATGCTCTCTCCAGTACAGGTTAGCTCTGAGTGTTAGCAATGCTAGTGTGAACATGCACCGACCATATTACGTCCAAAACGGTCGGGCGTTGTTTCTGATAGCAACGTTTCTGATATTACGTCATATCGGATGCAAATCTGGATCAGCTCCGTTGCAGCCCCGTTTTTAGAGATTTGGGTACGGAGGAAAAGAGAGAGGGTTTTATTTTCTGACGCTGCGTGAGTTCCCCGACACACCGGGGACACATATTTATTTATAATAGACATCAAAAAGTGCATTTTGCATGATAGGTCCCCTTTAAATATCAGACATCTTGCTGTGTCTACTACACCGAGATAGAAAGAGAAGGGACACACGTCTGGGTAGCTTAGGTAGAGCTAGAGTCTTTGCTGCAGCAGCTCGGGTTTGAATCTGGATTGAAGCCCTCTCTCTCCTACTCTCTGCCCAAGGCTGTTTTACTAATTAAAGGCAAAAAGAAGAAGTTACATTATTGATGAGAGATACGATAAATGCATTATACATACATCAAATAGCCTAAATGATAATAATATAGAGCTGGTATGCATGAAAATAAATACAAATGTAAAATATTTCAAAGAGGCTTATAAACCCATTCCAACCCAAAGCTTACAAAACAGAGGCGCACATGCACAGTGCTCGGCAATGGCTACTGGGCTGGGGGCTCAGGATAAGGAGGGAGTTTATGGGGGCAGGGACACACACACACACACACACACACACACACACACACACACACACACACACACACACACACACACACACACACACACACACACACACACACACACACACACACACACACACACACACACACAGATATCAGCCAGTGCTGGGGACTTCAGGCATACTGTAGGGGGAGCAGGTGTTTGTGCTGGGCAGCCTGTGGGTCAGACGGGCGGATGGATTGAAAGATGGAGGTGTGTGAGCAACAGAAACATTGAAAAGGGAGGGGGCTGCCACCTTATCAGGCCTGGGCCAGACCACCAAACCCCTCTCCTGCACCCAGCAGTCAGACTGAGCCGGGCAGACTGCAGGCCAACAGCTCTGCGTGGGGCTTGACTGTTGAGGGGAAGCTTTGTGCAGAGTGTGTGTGTCAGAGTGAGCATGTTTACGCCAGCTGCACAGTGGGAGTAAGCAGGCAGGTAGCATCCAGCACACACACGGAAACAGGTTAGGAGCCATCAGCCACACTGATGGACCACCACCGACCTGGTGAAAGTGTGTGTATGAGGGACATTTAAAAGGTTCTGTGCCAGTAACACTTTCTGTTTCTCGTTGAATTTTAAACTGAGTATTTTGGGACTCAGGAGAAGGGGTTGCAGTCCTACCTCCTTAAAGCAGGACTGTATCTCATGGGTCTTGAACGTGTCATGATTACTTCATTGTCAGAGTTTAGTCATAAATCTAAAGGTTCAAGCATTTGTTTGCAGCCACAATTAAAACCAGATTAATTGCAACATTTTCAGTTAAAGAAGCCTTTTATCAGCTGCTCTAAAACATTCCTTTTTCAGGATGAAAGCAACTGACTAAAAACAAAGTAAGAGTTGCGCTCACTCTGTCAGCTCAGCCCGGTCATTCTCTCTCTCTTTGTGATTGTGTCCTGCCAGGAGTTGGTGGTGAAGACCATAATAGTGGCTGAGCCCCACGTGCTGCACGCCTATCGCATGTGTCGCCCCGGACAACCACCAGGGAGCGACAGTGTCTGCTTTGAGGTGCTGGGCTTCGACATCATCCTGGACCGCAAACTCAAACCCTGGCTACTGGAGGTAAAACTCAGTCTGTGTGTGTGTGTGTGTGTGTGTGTGTGTGTGTGTGTGTGTGTGTGTGTGTGTGTCCGTTATTCAATTATAATTGTTTTATACTTTATATATGTAAAGTATAAATACAAAAACATTTTTTTTATATATATAAAAAACTATTTTGATTACATTTATTGTAAAAAAAAAAAGAAGTATATTTAATACTTGAATACATTATAATTAAAATGTTATTTATTCATTTGTTTTTCTTTTTTAAATGTAAAAGTCATATTTATAAATGTCCCACTTTTACGTACCGTTAGTATATTATTCCAATCATATCCTTTAAAATGTAAAAAATAAAAGATAGTGATAGTACTGTAGGATATTTAGATTTACATTTATGATATTGTGTGTGTGAGTGTGTGTGTCTGTGTGTGTGTGTCAGCCAGAAAGAGGCTGGCTGCAGTCTGTGCAGTCTCACCTGTCTATACAGCGACTAAAGTGACAGCGGCTCCTAAACTGAAGTAATGATGCATCAGCAGGAGAGAGAGAGATGTTGCTCCACACTGACAGAAAGCATAAACACACACTGATTTTGCTTACACACACCCTTCCCCGGTGCAGAGAAACACACAGAAACACCAACAATGTCTCAAGTATGCATTTATGCACATTGGAACATAAGCAGAGACACATTCCCGTGTAAAATAAAAGGAGTGTAAACGACAACGAACATGCACACACAATGAGGTGGATATGTGCATGCATACACAGCTGCATAAAAGTCACAACAAAACGTCTCTCTTGTTTGCAGAATCACAGTGGGAAAATATAGGTCAGAACAGCAGGTTGAGTAGATACACACCGCGCCTCATTCTCTCAGTGTCAGTCTCTCAAGTGTCAGTCATTCAGGAGATGGATTCAGAGTCCACTCCAGGATTTCTGTCTCACTGTTCTGATACCAGCCAGTCACTTAAAGCGTGACCTAAATCCTTAACCCAAAGTGGCTGCGCGCGTTTTTCCCCCTCTTCCCCACAAATTGACTGAAGGATGGGAAATGCCTCTGGGATAATTGTTTGTTTTCCCCCATTGTGACAGCTCAAAATAAATCTTGCGATTTTCAGAAAGCCCCTGATTTGGATAAAAGTGGCATTTTGATAGTTTGTTGGTGTTTTTAGAAGATAGTCGAATTAGGGTGTTATAATTACCTGACGCTTTACGTGTGGTTGCGCCGTCGTACTTCATGACAAAAGGATGTACAAAAGGGAGCAAGAAGGTGGTGTTCCTTCTGATTGCTGGTGCACAATGAGAGTAAGTGTGTGTGTGTATGTGTGTGTGTGGGTGTGTGTGTTTATGTATGTATGAGACATGGATGAAACAGCCGTGAATGCAGTTGTTCCACTCCAGCAGTAATGATCCCCCCTGTGCTCCTAGCAGCTCTCTATAACTCTCATCAATTAACATCCCACGCACACACACACACACACACACACACACACACACACACACACACACACACACACACACACACACACACACACACACACACACACACACGTACACACAGCCCTGCTTCTCTTTCACGCAACATTTACAGCAACAATAATTTATTTCCAAAATTCAACTGATTAGTCGGGGGATAGTTGCAAGCATGAAGACCACTTCTCAAATCCTCACTGCGTACGCTGTCAAGCCTGAAAATAACTTTATTACCACTTTTTAGCCTGTCAACGTTCTTTTCTATTCTGCAGGGATGCAGCCGAGCCCATAGGCTGGTTTCCACAAACGGTACCCTATAGCAAGCCCTCAGGTCCAAATTAAAATTTGAAGCAGATCGCTTTGCAGAATTTTGTGGTAAATTAAATCTATTTCACTGCGTTTCACCATTTTCTTTTTTGTTATGTATTTCTGCCACCCCTTTGAGTTACAAAACAGTAAAACTTGTGGCTGGAATTGCAACACAATCTAGGCCTTACAGGTTTGTTTTGAATTTGTGGACTCCAGCTCTCAGGTTTCTTATTGGTGTCACTGTGAATTACGTGTGCCACGCCTCGTTGGGGCTTTACCCAGACTGCTGTTCCGACAATGTCTTCCTCTCTTACTCTTTAAAACGTCAAAGTTGGTTGCTGGACATGCAGACTCGCAGCCAGGAAATGAGAGTTCAACCTGTGTAAACTCAAAACCAGTCGGGTACCTGAAAGCTAGATGGTATCATATATAAGAAACTGTCAGATGACATTAATCCTGCCCTTTGTATTTGTATTTTTGTTTGTCATTTCCTGATTGTATGTAGTAGGCTGGTGAGGGAAAAGGAACACGATTGCCTCTCACATCCTCCAATGTTTTTTTCAGACAAGGTATTCAAAATAGTGCAAGTCCCATGATTAGAGGACAACTCGCCTCTATCTAACATCTCAGGAAAGCTTCTGTGCAAGATACAATTCACCAGCTGTTTGTAAAAGAACATGCACAAAGACATCATTGCAAATATACTGATAACGAACAGTGAGACTCGGGAGGCAAAAGCCACAGAGCAGCGCCCACCTGCTAAATAGCTTGTCACAGGGGTGAAAACAGAGAAGGCTGGAGTGAGGATTCTCAAACCAAGGCTAGGCATCAAATGGGCGCATTGTGCTGAGAGCAGGTATAGCAGGGGAGATAAAAAGAAGGTAAAAAGAGAGACAGGCTTTTGTGTGATCCTTATCTTAATTCAGCAGGGTTTTCAACACAAGTTTTTACCTCCTATTGACATTCAAAACATCAGCGCTACACACACACTTGCTCAAATGGTGTAACCCGAGACATTCACTTTCATTAAACCAGCCCAGACAGCATCTGTGTCTCGTATAGGCAAGGTTGCCAAGGCTTTTGCTTTGAGGGCTCTATTGAGTGTTTGCTTTGTCTTTTGAAAGCAAAATAATAAAGAAAAGCAAAACAAGAAATACAATTGACAACATAATTGATGCAAAAATCAGTATACATTTAATATAGCCTAGGAACACTATTATGATACAGGCTTTGCTCATGAATTCTGCCAAACGTGGTGGTGCTTTCAAATTGGGGTGTTGGGTCAAACCGAACAGCAGCCGTCTCCAAATCCAGTATCAGCCATAAGGACTGCATTAACTCAATGACAGAATATAGCAATCGGCCAGCATTATCACCCCGGCACCCCCTCTGTCAAGTTCATCCAGGGCCCATTTGCTGTAAGCCGGCATGACGAATAACGTCAAATGGAGTGAAGAAAATGGGAAAAATATACTAAAGGTTTGGTGGGTGATGGTCTGGGACAAGAGGAATACATACACACAAACACAAAAAACGATTCATTTAAATGATCCGTCCTTTGTTACTGATACTGAACCGACATAGAGGAAAATGCATTGTTCTCATGGGGTACTGATTGGTGTCCATGGACAACAACACAAAGACAGGTTGATTGAAGCCCAGCCTCATTACAGACTCATTTCATTAAAAAAAACCCACAGAAAGCAAATACGCTTAAGCTGGTAAACTCTAAAAAGGAAGAAACAACAGTTTGTAGGAAGCACAAATAATTAGAAAGCCATCTCTCTAGTGTCAGGCAGCATGAAGGCTGGTCGGTCTGCTTGTTAGGGCCACAGTCCCCTTGTGTGTGTGTGTGAATCGGAATTAGATTTATGCTGTGTCAGTGTGTGTGGTGTTTGAATAGGTGCATACTGTAGGTACTGTATGAGTGTTTGCCTGCAGTATAAACATACATGTAGTATGAAAGCCACCACATGCAACTGTGGGTGCTTCTGTGTCTCGCGTGAATGTGTCTACACTCAGTGTGTGGGGGTGTGTATCTAGACGTGTGGTCTTTGTCCCTCTGGGAATAGCCCTCTGTGGTGTGTGTGTGTGTGTGTGTGTGTGTGTGTGTGTGTGTGTGTGTGTGTGTGTGTGTGTGTGTGTGTGTGTGTGTGTGTGTGTGTGTGTGTGTGTGTGTGTGTGTGTGTATGCTTGGTCATCCTGATCTACCTACCTTACCCCCAGCCCGTCTTTTTATTGCGTTCGAGTAATGGAGGTATCATGCTTAAAACACTGAAACAGACCAATTCACTAATGAAATAAAGCAAGGAGGAAACACGTTATTTTCCAACTTTCATGGTGTTTTACTTAATGTAACGTTTCGGTATTGAGACACTATAGGACACGGGAGCTTAGGCAGCTCGATTATTGATAGCTGCAACGTAACTACCATCTCCTCATCCATCTCCTTCCCTTTCTCTCCCTCCTGCTCCCCCTTTAGGACGGCATGTGCAGAGTGATTGGCAGCTAATGAGGCGGGCATGGTTAGGTCAACCGTGGCACTGGTTTGTTTGTGTCCAACTGTGTTTGTGTGTGTGTGAGTGAATGGGCTTCACGACAACAGACCAACAGATTGCAGCTGGACTGCTCCCCTAAGGGCGGTGATTCCTCACCCCACCTCTCCCTCCCTTCTCCCTTCCTGCAACTTTCCTCTTTCTGGGCCCTGTCCCCGATTGTTTCAAGATGAGTTTGGTTTGCTTGTCCATCCCTCAGAGCCAACATAATCCAGACTTCCTTTTCTTTTGAGTGCAAGTGTATGTGTGTGTGTGTGTGTGTTTATGTTGGGGGTGTGTTTGTGGAGAGTAATCTGCGCTGGCAAGTGTAAACAGATGCCACGATACACATAGAAACAAACACATGGATATTTATTTTTTCTCTCTCTTACATCCCTCACACACGTTAACAGAGACTGTAAATTAATTACAATGACTGAAAACACTGTGGACTTGCTGTGTGGAATAAATTGCACCTCACACTTATGAAAGCTTTCGATTGAAATTCTATTTCATCTCTGCAGTAGGAGATGAAAATGTTATGTTATGACAGCCTTCCCATAAAAGTTTGAAGAGTAGCCATTCAAAACGTAGCTGTTTTCCTATTAGATTTAGAAGATTTAGGGGTCAGCCTGCCTTTCAGATATTTGCTCAGGAAATTTGAGGAGTGTTTTCTAACCCCTACAACAGCAGAGTCAAACA